CAACTTCAAGCAGATTTGATAGAACATATTTGGCAAAAGATTGGAGGAGAAAATAATGAAATTTAATTTTATGTATTATATTTTTTTTAGTATTATTTGATTTTTATTATATTTATTTAACTATTATGTATTTTTATATTAAAACAAGGTATTATATTATTAATTAAATTAATATATATATATATATATATATATATTTATAGAAAATATTAAAATAATATAAAATAATAAATTATTAAGAGTTACTTAAAATTTTTACTATTGAAATAAAATTAAATAAAAGTTAGTTAAGCATGGATCTTGTTTCACTATTTTCTAAAGTGAAACACCCTTTTAAATTTTCTGCTTTTTGGAGATGCTCTGGTAGTGCTCGAAACACTATCATCTATCATTGTGATTATGATGACAATATACACCTTGGGGTCTGTCTTGATACATGTGCACTCTAGATGTCAACTCATAGCCTCCCCATTTAATAGATGTCCATTTTTCCTCTCTGCGACCCCATTCTGCTATAGTGTTTTGACACAAGAGAACTCATGAATTATACCTTCTTTTTTACAAAAAGAATTAAGGACATGATTGAAGTAATCTTTGGCATTATCTGACCTAAGCCTCTTAATATTAACACCAAACTGATTTTTTATCAAGGAGTGGAAGTTTAGGAAGACAGAACTGACTTCTGATTTTTGTTTAAGTAGGAAAACACAAGTGACCCTTGTACAGTCATCTATAAAGGTGATAAACCATCGAGCACCAGACACATTTGGAACATTAGAAAGTCCTCATACATTAGTATAAACAAGATAAAAAAGGAAATTACTAATTCTATTACTTATTGGAAAAGATACACGCGTGTGCTTAGCAAGTTCACACACCTCACAATGAAGACTCTCAACATCTAACTTTGTAAACAAAGAGGGAAACATAATTTTGATCACTCCAAAAGAGGGATGTCTCAACCGACAATGATAAAACATGATTTTTCTCTGTTGGTCATCAAGGATTCACATATGAAGGAGTGAGAGATTTTGTTCTTGCTGGACAGACTTGGATCTTCGAGATCATAAAGGTCATTCCATTCTCTAGCATGTCCAATCATCCTCCCCGAATCTTTACCCTGAAATACAAAATGATCGTTGAAAAAAACAACTTTACATGACAAATCCTTTATAAGTTTTTGTATAGACACTAGGTTGGTGGACAACTTTAGGACATGGAGAACATCTTTTAAGGTTATTAAAGGATTGATTTGGATATTTTCTTGACCAGCTACAGTTATAAGGGTTCCATCTGTTGTGGCAATTTTCTTATTGCTGGGACATGGGGAATATGTGAAGAAGTGTTTGGCTAATGGTGTCATGTGGTCTGTGGCTCCAGAGTCCAATATTCAATAATGGTTATCTGAGACATTTAATCCAAAAGAAAGTGGAAACTTACCTGAGTATGCCAAAGAACACACACCTGTAGGTTTTTCCAGTTTACTAAGAAAGGTTTTCACCCTTTCTATCTCCTCTTGGTTAAGATGGGCAGCAACTTCTGGATTATTTCCTTCATTTGTTATGACGAGGCTTATTGCAGTAGGCACACCAGAGACTATCACCTTTCTTCTCCACATTTGTTGATCCTCCTTTCTTTTGTTCGGCTACCCCCTTTCTATTCAACATTTTACGAACAAGTTGGGCCGACTTCAAATAATTTCTTCCATTTAGTGTATATGCAGAATGGATATGCTGCAGTTCTCTAGATTGTTGGGATTACTATCACCTTTCTTCTCCACATTTGTTGATCCTTCTTTCTTTTGTTCGGCTACCCCCTTTCTATTCAACATTTTACGAACAAGTTGGGCCGACTTCAAATAATTTCTTCCATTTAGTGTATATGCAGAATGGATATGCTGTAGTTCTCTAGATTGTTGGGATTGGGTATTCCCTGTTTCTGGGGTTGGGTTCACAACTTCCTCTTCCCTTGACATTATAGCAAGGATATGTTGCAGTTCTCCAGATTGTTGGGATTGGGTATTCCCTGTTTCTGGGGTTGGGTTCACAACTTCCTCTTCCCTTGACATTATAGCAAGGATATGCTGCAGTTCTCCATATTGTCGGGATTGGGTATTCCCTGTTTCTGGGGTTGGGTTCACAACTTCCTCTTCCCTTGACATTATAGCTAGAAGGTGCGATGCAATCGCAATGCAGGCTGTCCTCTTAGGGTTTATAGTGCGCAGACAGAATTTCCTAGATCGGAAGCTCTGATACCATATTAAGGTTCCAACATAAAACTAATTGGTAATATGTGGAGTAGTCTAACATGTATTTAAACCATACCAAATGATATGAGATAGGCGATGTGAGACTTTCAACACGCTCCCTCCAACGAAGCCTGTCAGTAGGGATGACAATTAAACTCGTCCCCGTGGGGACCGACCCATCCCCGCCCCGAGTTTGACGGGGAAAACCCGAGTTGACCGGGGGCGGGGGCGGGGATGGGTAATGCAATCCCCACCCCGTCCCCGCCCGACTTTATATTTAAATTTAAATTTTAAAATATTAATATTTTAAAAGTATTTTCTTTTTTTCTATTACATATAAGGTCATTTTTTATATTTTACCAATTTTTGTTTTTCTTTTACCTATTTTTTAATTTTTTTTGTCTTTTTTAATCTTTTATATCAATTAATTTATTATATTATTCTCTCTTATACCTTGTAGTTTTTCTTATTTTCTTAATCTTTCTCGTCAATTTTTTTTTCAATCTTTTCAATCAATTTGATGAACACAGTTAATTTTTTTATTCTTTATCTTTTTCTAAATATTTTACATAAATCTTAACAATAACTAATATTATTTTATTTATAATTTATATTTATTAGGTTTTATTATGTCATTTGTTTATCTTATTGTTCTTATTTATCATATATCAAATTTTATCTTAATAAAATAATTGTATTTTAAAGGATTAAAGGAATTGTCATTTAAACTTTTATTACTTTGAATTAATTGAATAATAATTAACTTATTAAATATTTCATTATAAACTATATATTTCATATTTTTAAATTACAACTTAAAAATGAATTAACTTATATATATAATCAAATGTTTGAATACAGTATTATAATAATAATGATGATAATGTTATAAGTATTCAAATATTTGAATACAGTATTATAATAATAATAATAATAATGTTATAAATAAAAAATGATTAAATATTTCTTTTACATACATATTTTAATATAAATATAATAAATTAAAATGTATATTTAATTAATAATTATTATAAATTATAAAATTATAAATATTTATTTATATATAAAAAATAGATAGTAAAATTAATTTATTATAAATGTAATTATCTTTTTTAAAATAATATAGATCGAGAACGGGCGGGGACGGGAACCCGAAACCCAGCGGGAACAGGGATGAGGACTTAATTTCTAACCCTGCAGGGATCGAGGCGGGACTGGGATGATTAAAAAATTGGGGCGGGGATTGGGAGGTAAAACCCGCCCCGCCCGCCCGCCCCGCCCGTTGCCATGCCTACACTGTCGGACTGGGTAAAGGGTACTTTGACCCAACTAAAGGGCAACTTTTGGCCCATGATAATAACCGGAAAGATGTTAGACTTTAACTCTGATACCATCTGAAAAATTAGATTAAATAAAATTTTATTTTATTATTTTAATACAAAGAGATCATACAATATATATATATAGGAGACCTAAGCTATTTTAGAAAATATAATAACTCTATTTTATTTTAGGATCTCTTGATTTATGGGATTGTTCCTAATTATTCAATCTGTATAGATTACAAATTTCCTAATTTATTTTTTCCTAAAATACTATTTAAACTATACCTTGCTGACGTCAAAAGAAGAGTTAAATCCATATATAATTGAAAAGTACACTCCAACATGCATGCAAACACCTAAATCTTCCAATGTTTCATTTTCATATCATTGCGTACGTGTTCACAGATAGGCATAAACACAATACCTAACACGTATTATAAATCTCCATCAATTAAACACTTTCTCCATAAAACAAGAAGACACACATGGCTAACTAATGGTGAAATATATATGCACACAGATGGGACTAATCGTGCAAGTTTTGGTTTCACACCAAACGAACACTCACATGGGTGCCTCGTGTGCATATCCCTCTACCAGCTATATTTCCATACCTCTCTTCTGTGCATGCCAGTGGTTCATGCATTGCACGCACCTTCAATGATGCTTTCTTTCCAAAGAGATTTTGACACCACAACAATTATTTTGCCACCGTGATTCTAAACCACTTGACATATCATATAACTCTGCCACATCCTATTCATAAAATTATGGTCTTATATAGTATTTATTTCTCATGAAACATACTTGAAAAGATAATATGACAGATCAGACATGTATGAATGAATAAGCTTTCATGACACACCACTGTATTCTGCATTTATCATGAAACTTACTTGTGTTCTGAACATTTTTGAACTACACATAAAAATGTTTTATTGACTAAACGACATAAGTGGTCCTTTCAAAATTCTAATAATTCTCATTCAACGCACCTCAAGTCTAAATCACACGAGTATCCCATCTCAGTGTTTATGGTGGAGGGTACTCAGTGGTTGAGTGGGGTATTCATTCCATACTCCTTTATCATTTTCTAATCCTCATCCCTTCAATATTTATAATAGAGGTCACTTTTAGGTGCAGGATGTCCACTCAAAAGAAAAAGATAATTTCATTCTTCAACTTATATATGCAACTATTTGACATTGAAACTTCCTGTAATCAAGAATCAAATCATTTCACATTCTTCTCTAACATCGTCACATTGAGGTTTCCAACCATAGACGACACTCCTACAAAATTATTAATCATGGGTGGTTCCTACAAATTCCTTTCATAAAAATTGCATTACTTAATTATTGGTCATTAGGGAGGGCATATTGTCTGGTTTCTGATGCCCCACTGTTGCAACCTTTAGTGGGTGCATTATGGCTCCAATGCCTTCGTATGTTGCTCCACAACTAGACATCAATGGGTCAAACAATTAATAGTTTTTTCATCACAATTATATGGATATAATCAAAGCACAATTCTATGAATCTTATCTTTCATTACATGATTTATGATTCATAAATAGGCCAATAGTAGCAAAACCAAAACAAAAGCAACCCCACCTTGGGTTAATTAGTGTACCATGCATTTGCCTATATAAAGCACCACTCTTCAACTTTCAAACTCATCCTACATCCTCCACTTCCTTGATTGATTACTTATACTTCTCTCTCTTAAACCATAAACCTTTTCTTTGTAACATGTCTTCTTCAGAGGGTGTCTTTGAGTTGGGGATGGAGTTCTCAGAGGCCGACAATGTTCTTCTCATGTCACTGATGGAAGAAACGCAGGAAGAAGAGTACTATGGCGATGAAAGACTTGTGAGCATGATTCAGTCATTGGAGGCAGAGATCAGTGACACTGAAATGGGTCAAATCTATGAGATGGGACACGTGGATGATCAATATTGCTCCACATCAGACACTGACCCTGATAATTGGGTTGACATGGAATTGATCTCTTCCTTGCCCTTTGATGAGATGAATGCATGGATGCCTTGTGTAGATGAGATGATGGAGCATGCAGCAATGGAAGATGAAGCTGCAAATGACATCAATGATTTTCAGTTTTGTTATGAAGCTTTCTTGGAGCAACAATACAGAGAGATTAGTTATTTGGCACAAGGGCCAAGTGATGTAGTTTTCTGAAATTATTATATGAAGAAACAGAAGATAACATATACATGGTTTAGTTTGTAATTATAATTGTGAAGGGGTTCTTTAAGTAAATGTTATTGCCAAACTTTTTTATTTTAATCTTTTGTTTCAATCTTTCTTATGGTTGTATTACATACCACGAAAAGAGATGATTTTGAATAAAAAGACATGGAGAAAGTTGAAATAGAAACCCTTTTGAATAAACTAACACGATCTTCTAAAATTCTCAATTTAGAAAAACTTACTATATTAACATTTATATTAATGAAGACTTCGTTATCATAATTAAACACATAAAAATACAACTTTCACATTTTTCAGAAAATTGTAGTATATTTTTATATAAAACAAAATATAACATGAATAAACGTTCATTTTTTCAACATCGAGAAATTTATGCAAAATAATAAATGAAAAATCGATAATAACTTTAATTACAAGAAGTGATGAAAGTTTAAAGTTTGCAGAAACTTAAACATTTATCTAAAAACTTTGATACAACTAATTTTTATTTTTATTTTTATCATTAGAAACTGTACTAAAGAATAAATTCTAATTCAGAAATTATTTACCTTTCTTTTTATTTCGTTCACTTTTTTTATTTCAATCTTTGAACAATGTGCTTCATAAACTTTCACTTTTTTTAGTTCTTTCACCTTTCTCGATAATATAATATTTCAAGTTGAAAATATATTTTGTTGTTTGTTTGATTACAAAGAACGTACACAAAATATTCTAAGTCTAACAAACCAAAAACACTTGTTTATTACTAAAATTATATATCGTGAAAATAAGTTTGTTATCATGCGACTCAATTAAATTTGATTCTTTTACAATTATGTGACTTGAAGTATTAAATTGAATAAAAATAGGAAAATTGAATAATATATAATATGAAATATATATATATATATATATATATATATATATATATATATATATATATATATATATAAATGGAAGGTAGAATCATATTTTTTTTAATATGTTTATCTTATTTTGATTAAATAATTGTTAATATTCTAGAAACCTAAAAGTTACTTTATAAACAAAAAAGTGTTTACTTTAATTTGATATTATTTCTTATCTGAATTGGTTTGATTTCATTGTTCAAGTGTACCACTATTTATAAAATAATTTATATTTTAAAATAAACACGTTTACCACCATTTAGGTACTTTTTATTATTTAAATAAATAAGTAAATATTTTCAATTGGGAGAATTCTTCCAATTATGTTTTGAACAATTTTTTATTATAAACACTCATCACTTAATAATTAATATAATATTAACTTTTATCAATGATTTTTCATATAGAAATTAGATTTTCAATATAAGTTCCAACATTCGAAGTAAAATGCGAGAAAGATAAATATGCATAGAAAATAGGAAAGTAAATGGTCGATGAAGATAAATAGTAGAAAAAGTGAATTTAGCTAATTACCAAGTATAAAACAAAAATTGATAAAGAAACTCAATGAAAGTGGTGACCCTACTTATTAAGAACTTCATTGAAATAGTCTTTCTTTATATGTGATATTTTTTCATAATGTTTCTCATAGGCTGAGGAGCAAAAGGAAGAATTCACCCGATGAGGGGCTTGCATCTAATTAGCTAGTTGGTGAGGTAATAGTTTATCAAGGCGATGATCGGCAAATGATCTGAGAGGATGATCAACCACACTGAGACACAGCCTATACTCCTACGGTAGCAGTGAGAAATTTTTCATAATAAGTAAAAGGCTAACGAAGAAATATTGTGTGAAGGTAGAAGACCTACGAGTCATAAACTTCTTTTTTCGGAGAATAAGCAATGACAGTATCTAGGGAATAAGCATCGGCTAACTCTGTGTCAGCCGTCGCGGTAAGATAGAGGATGCAAGTATTATCCAGACATAAAACGTTTGTAGGTGGCTTTTTAAGTTCGTTGTCAAATCCCAAGGTTCAACCCTAAATAGATGGTGGAAACTACCAAGTTAGAGTAAGGATCTTCTAACAATCTATCATCCTTAATTAGACTCATTTCACCTTATTTATACATTATTTTGTGTAAAGATGAATATGTATAGATTAAATAAAAAATAATTTTTAAAGTATTAATAAAATTTAATTTTTTATCTTTTCATCTTCCACCTTTTTACTTATAATTAATATTATCGTTATTCCATTGTACAACTTTCAATTTTTACCTATCTCTTTCTCTCTTTATATAGTTAGACTTCATTTATTTTCTCTCCTATCTTTTTTACTTTCGTACTTCAAATTTTTTTTTTATATATATCACATACTCTTTTTTTTTCTTTCATATTTCTACCTTTTTCCTTATTATTTCTTCACTTTCATATTCTTCTTTTTTTCTAATTTCTCCACAAAACATATAAATTGTAAGTTTCTTTCTTTAGTTTTTCAAAATTTTCTCGTTTAAAGTTTCACCTTTGTAGTATAAAAAGTGTAACTTTTCGTTTTTCAATCTTTTTCCTATCCATTCAAGCTAGAAATATTTTCACGTTTGAGAAATACAAGTTAACAAATAATGGAGATATTATGCAATATTTTTCTTGAAGTAGAGAACAATAAATAAATTTGTTTATTTGTTATACACTAGTTAATTATTTTAATATTTTATAATGTTTTATTTTGATATTAAAATATGAAAAAAAAATAGGTTGAACTTGAGAGATATCTAAGAAGAAAACTATAAACTCTTTTTTTCAAGAAAAAAAAAGATAAATGATGAAATAAACTTTAGTTTACTAAATTTAAATTTAACAAAAAATGTTGAAAATGTTGTAGAACAACCTACAATTGATCAATCTATTCAACAATATTCTTCCAAAATTATGAGGATTAAACATGAAAAATTAATATTAATATTTTGATATCTAATCCTAAGAAGCATCCACATATTTAGAATTATCTTATCAATCAACAATCGAGTTTATCGTATTGAGCACCAGTTTAGATCCTAAAGATGATTACCAAAAAATTTAATACTTCTAACATTTGCAAGCTAGTTGAGAATTCATTATATCTTTCTGAGTAAGAGAAGATTAAGTTTACATATGAATTACAACATGAATTTGATGTACTTAAAACTCCACAATTTCAGAATTTGTCTATTATTGCATAGTTGTGTCAGAAATTAATGGAAACTCGAAAATCAAATATATATCATTTGATTGATAGATTAATTCGACTTATTTTAACTCTCTGTATCTCTATAGTAATAAAAATATTAAAATTACTCGACTGGTCAAAATCGGTCGATAATAATTTTATAGAGTTAGAGACTCGATACTCCAACCACTAAGCTACTAAATTTTTTTGATAATAATTTACAAATAATATATATTTATATATATTTATATATATTTATATATTTATATATATTTTTATATATTTATATATTTATATATTTATATATATTTTTATACATTTATATATTTTTATATATTTATATATTTTTATATATTTATATATTTATATATTTATATATTTATATATTTTCTTTATTTTTATATTTTTATATTTTTATATTTTTATATATTTATATATTTATATATTTATATATTTATATATTTATATATTTATATATTTATATATTTATATATTTATATTTTTATATTTTCATATATTTATATATTCATATATTTATATATTCATATATTCATATATTTATATTTTTATATTTTTATATAATTAAATATTTATTTTTTAAAATTATTTAATTTAATAAATTATTATAAATTAATCTAATTATGATTAAATTAAATTATTAAATAAAAAATATTTTATTTTTTAATTAGGTGAATAATTAAATTATTAAAATATATTAAGTAATTATTATATAATTTTACCGATCGGATATGTCATCGGTAACTAATTGTTAATTTACCGACGGAAATTTCGTCGGTAAATAATTGTTAATTTACAGATGAATTTACCGACGGATAAATCCGTCGATAATTAATTGTTAATTTATCGACGGATTTACCAATGGATATATCCGTCGATAAATTCATCTATAAATTACCGACAGATTTATCGATGGATATATCCGTCGGTAACTAATTATTATTTTACCAACGGATATATCCGTCGGTAACATCAAATTTCACAAATATTTTATATCCGTCAGTATTTTCCATCGGTAATGATTATTTTTCGACAACTACAAATCCATCGGTAATACGCGATTTTCTTGTAGTGAACAAAACGTGCATTTTCTGCTATGAAGATTATTAAGGCATGGCTTCAAAATAAGATGGAAGATGATTTTCTTACTGATTACATGATTGTTTATATTGAAAAGGAGATCACTGCAAAATTTGATTCAAATGTGATAATTGATGATTTTTATAATATGAAATATAGTGGAGTAGAGATGTACTTGATTATATATATATATATATATATATATATATATATATATATATATATATATATATAGTTTTTTATATTGATCTTAAATATACGTGAATGATTTATAATTTGTAACGATTTTATATAATATATTAATTTTTATATATTTTCTCCCTCATTTAAAATTTTTTGTTTTGTCCCTAATTCTATATAACTGCTAGGAAAATTTAAATAAAAATACAAATTAATTAAAGTACAAATCGATTTATTTTTTCATAATTATTTCCCTCCTTTCTCAAGAAGTATTGACATGTAGTATATGTAATCTTTCATGTCACAAAGTGGATTGTAACCACCTTTGGATGCATCTTGATTATATAACTTTTTTCAAGTCTCACTTTCTACATCGGTTTTTGAATTTTTTATATTTTTATAATCCCTTTTTATTTATCTAGTTTTATTTATCTATAATACCCTCTATCCTCCTCTATTTATCTAGAGGTCTCCATCCCCTTTATATTATATTATTTTAAGAGAATTGTCATTGACAGGATTTGAACACAATACTTAAGAATCGGAGGATGATACTCCAACCACTAAACTACTAGGATTTTCTCGATAATAACTTAGAAATAAATTATATTTATATACAAATAAATATATCTCTGTGTAAATATATAAATACAAATATATTTATATATTTTGATATTTTTATATATTTATATATTTTGATATATTTATATAGTTATATATTTATATAGTTATATATTTATAGGTTAGATGTGAGGGCGCGCTCGAAGGGGAAAGTGTGTGTCGAGTAGATCTTCAAAATTTGATACCAAATTTCATCTAATTAATAGAACAATTTCTTCCTTCGATAGATTATTATAAATTAATCAATTGATTAATTTATAATAATTTATTAAATAAAATAATTTTAAAAATAAATATTTAATTATATTAATATAAGAATTTCAATTAAATAATTGAAGAAAAAAAGATAAAAAAGAATAAAATAAAATAAAATAAAAATAAATAAAGAAAAAAATTATTTTATATCATTATATAAATAAATTATAAAGATTATATTCTATCATTAAATTACAAACCTATATAAAGAGACTCGCTCACAAATTTGACATCAAATTTTGAAAACCCACTCGACACACACTTTCACCATCGAACGCATTCTCACATCCAACATATAAATATGTAAATATATAATTATATAAATATAAAAATATATTTTATTTATATATTTACACGAATATACATTTATTTGTATATAAATACAATTTATTTATAAATTATTATTAGAAAATCTTAGTAGCTTAGTGGTTGGAGTATTAGTTTCTACCATTAATGTAATGGGTTTGAATCTTGTCAATGACAATTTTCTTAATTTGATATTATTTCAACTTTCAACGTCGGTTGACTTAAAACTGACGTTGAAAGTGTATTTTGTAGTAGTGATCTTCTTTGATTACATAATTGTTGTTTGATCCCTTTGCCTTTCTTAATTAGCCCTTTCTCAATAAAAATCTTGTATTTCCTAATTTTTCTTAGTCTATATATCTCAATAAAAAAATTTCAATATCTTCTTGATTCTTCCTTAATTCATCAAAGTCTTCGATTTACATTTGAAAATATGTTCTATTTTTGTTAATGTGTTTCTCGATTCCTTATTCAACTATGATAATCCTTTGATACCCCTGTCTATCTTTCTTTTGTCTCAATTACTCTTTTGATTACTATGAAGTCTTAATTATCTAATTCTTTGATTTTTACATTTTGATCATTTTTTCTCTTTGATTTTGATTTCTTACATATATTTTGATTCACTCCTCAATTACTTACATTCTTGATTTCAATCACCTTCGATTCTTACCTGTTCGATCTCGATTTTTATCCTCTCAATTCATATCGTCTCGATACCCTTTCAATGTTTTACCATCTTGATCTCGATTTTTATCTTTTTATTCTTCTATCGTCTCGATTTTTACTATTTAGTTTTAATTTTTTTATTTTTAACTTCAATATTTTCTTCCACTCCTCTTTTTCAATATATTTGTAAATTTATTATTCTCAATTAGAAAAAATAAGTCCTATTTTATATAGAAATAAGAGTTATTTGTGGAATATTTTATTTCTATCTTATAAAACATACACTTATATCTCAATCCGTTGCTAGTTTGGCCCAATAAGTATATGGTATAGTTACAAATTAATATGTCAGATATTTCCATTGGAAACTCAAAACACTTATTGTCGTAAAAAATAGGAATTTTGGTTAAGTATGAGTCTAATTTAATTGGTTCAACCACTTATAAATGTTTATAAATATCAAGTCTGCAGTATAATATCATTCTCGTACACGATATCAAAATCAACTCCTCGTTGATTTCTTTCAATTTTTTTTCTCATTCAATATCAATCATTTATATCTTTTCCTGTTCAAACACTGTTCTTGCTTTTATTTTATTTTTTATTTCTTGCATTAGTTAATTATTGTTCATGAAGTGGCCATATATTGTCTAGTTTCTGATGCCCCACTTCTGGTGCAACCATTTATTAGCTAGCCAGGTACCATATTACTCACCTGGAATGGCTTGATTTGTTGCTCGACAAGTAGACACACATGGGTCCAAGCATTAATTTTTCCATAATTATATCATATGAATATTTTATCTCAGCACAATTATACGATTCTTATCTTCCATTACATAATTTAGTATTCATATATATAATAATAGAGTGGCACAAGAAAAAAGCAACCTCCACCTTGTATTTGTGAGGTAATGCATTATTTGCCTATATAAAGGTCCCTTCTTCACCTTTCAAACCAATCTGCATCTTCCACTTACTTATCTACTTCTCTCACTTTAACCAAATCCATAAACCAAAGAAGAAAAGGGTCACTCACTCACTCCTTTTTTCAGTGTAATATGTCTTCCTCGGAGGGTGTGTTTGAGTTGGGGATGGAGTTCTCAGAGGCCAACAATGTTCTTCTCATGTCACTGATGGAAGAAACGCAGGAAGAAGAGTACAATGGCGATGACAGACTTGTGAGCATGATTCAGTCATTGGAGGCAGAGATCAGTGACACTGAAATGAGTCAAATCTATGAGATTGGACACGTGGATGATCATGGTTGCTCCACGTCAGACAGTGACCCTGATCATTGGGTTGACATGGAACTGATCTCTTCTTTGCCCTTTGATGACATCGATGCATGGATCCCTTGTGGAGATGAGATGATGGAGCATGCAACAATGGAATATGAAGCTCCAAATCACATCAATGAGTTTCAGATGAGTTTTGGAGCTTTCTTGGAACAACAATATAGAGAGATCAGTTATTTGGCATAAGGGCCAAATGATGTAATTTTCTGAAATTAGTTATCATGTACTAAAAACAAGATGTAAAAGTTTATTGAAAAAAAAAAAAATACATATATTGCTCTTACTCATTCACTCAATAGTCTACTTAGCAAATGTTTAAACAGTAGGGATCAAAACAAAATTAAAATCTTTATTGAAGATCAAAATTATTTTCTTTTTACAAAAACTTATACAAAATTTGTAAATTTAAAACATTTCTAAAGGTGTAACTTGTAATAATTATTTAAAAATAAAAAAAATAGTTTACTATAAATCATACATTAATTATTTAAAATTAAATAAAATTTTAACTATTTTTAAATAATTCATAATATTCATAATAAAATATTTATTTTTTATTTTTAAACAATCTTTACCAACATCGTTGTAGATGAGCTTAGGAGACATGCAAAAGTTGTTTAAGGCATAAAAATATATTTTAAATATTTATAATCTAATTTTTAAAATTAGTTTCAAACTCTTTTCATTTTTATTTATAATCAATTATTTTTATTATACTATTTACTTTTATTAGTTGTTTTAGTTTTATCTATATTATTAATCTATATAATATCTTAAAAATTATGTTTAAAAAAAACATAATTAAGTAAACATCATATTTTCATTATGATATAATCAAGCCTATCTTTTTTTAAAATAAAAACACTGATTTGATAAGTATTATAAAAATAAAAATAAAAATTTTTAACCTTTCAAAAAATTACTTGAATAATCGTTTCCACAAACTTTATAAACTATTAAAAGAAGTTTGTTTATATAATATTTTTTATAGAATAAAGTTTTTCAGGTAATAAAATAAATTAGAAAGTAATTAACAACCTTGTGAAATATAGTCATAATATTATAGTAGTATTTATTTTCAGGGTAGTTTGTTTCTTTTAATAGTATGACTGACTATCACCTTCTCTAAATTACATAAACTCTACATCTTAGTTAATTCTTCTGAATAATTGGTTTTTATTTGTTTCCTTAAAAGTATAACAATTTTTTTTTCAATATGAGGCAATAAAAATAACTCATGAAACCAATATTTTCAACTTATCCTTAGAGAGCTTTTAAAAAAGAAGTAATTAATTAGTTCACTTTGGGTTGTAATAATTTAAGTGATGGTTTTAAGTTTAGAGTCAAATTCTAGAGTTTAACTCTCGGTGGTGGAAACTATTAAGTTGGAATAGCGTAGGAATAGAATGAATTTTTAATAGAGCGGTGAAATGCGTAAATATCTGAAAGAACATTAACGATGAAGTACTCTCTTGGATCGACACTGATACTGAGAGATGAAAATTAGGAGAATGAATCAAAATTGAGAGAAGAAAGTTAGGAGAGTGAAGCAGATTAGATACTAGGCGTTGTGTAAATAATTTTAAATTATGTAAATAATTTTAAAAATTTATTTACTAATTAATATTTTTATTAATAAATTAAAAAAATTATTATATTTAAACATTAAAATAATTAATAATTTAAACTCAATTAATTAATTATATAATTTAAATTATAATATATTTATATATTTTAATATCATAAAAAGTATAATATTTTTAATTATAATTTTTTTATTTTAATTTTATAGTTATTATCAATCCTCCCTAATTTTTGTTTTGTTTTTATCTTTTTTAGTATCCTTTTGGCATCGTTAAAAATAAGCGTCACTTCACAGGTGAAAGTGAATTCTTGATTGATTGATTGCTTTCATTGCCGGTGCCATTCAGCGTCAATGATTTATATCTTTCTCCATTCAAACGCCGTTCTTGCTTTAATTATTTTTTATTTTTTTGTGCATCTTATTTAATTATTGATCTTCAAAGTGGGTATTCATGGTCTATTTTCTGGTGCCCCACTTTTCTGCATCCATAATCCATTAATTAGATATCGTGTCCTATTTTTAAAATATACTATGTTTAAGATCGGCTTACATAAAACAAAATAATCATTAATTTATTTATTATTACTATTTTTCATTAATATTTTTATTATTATATACCTTTTTATTTAAAATTAATCTAACTAATTTGTTATGTTTTTTATTAATAAATATAACTAAAAAATAGATATAATTAATATAATTTTAAATTTCGTCTGTTACTTCACAAGTAGACACCAATAGGTCTAAACAAAACCATTGATAAAAATATATGAGATTTAAAATTAAACTAAAAAAACAAATAAATATTAATTTTTATAATTTTTAATAAATTTATTGAATAGTTTTTTTAAAATTAAAGTTATACAATAGTTTTTTTAATTTATTCTCAAAAATATTGTTTTGAAATTAACTTGTTAAACTGTTTTTAATTATTAAAAAACAGTCCATTCGCATCTTAGTTTTTTTTTTCTAACATTTTTTTGTTGGATAAAGGATACAATTTTCTGAACCTGAACATATATTTTGTTGTTGGTTTGATTAAGAAGAACTTACATTACATAAATTAGTCTAACAAAAAAAATACTTATTTATTATTATAATTATTTGTGAAGTTGGTTTATTCTAAAAGTCAATTCAAAATGATTTTAGTTATAAAACCTCCCCAGGTAACCATGATAAACAAAAGTTCAAGTGTTGACTTGAATAGAATATATTTTTTTAATAGAATATAAGCAAAAATAACATTTGATGAATATTTATTACTATGTTAAATTTAAATTATTATAATAACTTATTTTTTCATGCTGGTTTAAATTCGAACCAATATAAAAAAACTTTTATTAGATAACAAAATAAAAAGGTATATGAATTTTTAAATTTAAATTAATATAAAATTAATCTTATAAATAATATTTTAAAAAAATTATTTAGATAAAATCTATATCAACTTATTTATTAAGTTGATCTCCACATTTTTTTCGGCTCTCTCTTCATAATTATTATTTTTTATTTATTCTTTTTCTTCATTCACTATTTTTTTTAATTTCTTCCTTTTCTCCATTCACTCTTTTTTTCTTGTTTTTCTCGTTTTTTTTTCTTTCCTATTTTCTTCTACTCTTTCTTGTAATTAAAATTATTATATTAAAATTTAATAAAAACATGTTAAAATAATTTTTTAAAATTAATATCAAAATTAAAAAATATTAATTAATTATTTAAAAAAATGATGAAAATAAGTAATTGTATTTATTATAATAATATTATTTTTGATAATATAAATAATTAATTTAAAATTATTTTATCATAGTAAATCAATTATTTAATTAAAAAATATTAAGTAGTTTAATATAGTTACAATTAGGTTAAGTTATGATGATTAGGTGAGTTAAAAATAAATTATTAAAAAGTTTACTTTAAAATAAATATTTTTAAAAAATATTTATATCATAACAATAATATTTGTAATACCTAAAATTTATTATATAATAATTTTAAATATAATAAATTAAATTATAGCATTTTTTGTTAATTTAAATTTTTTAAATAATAAAAAATTAATTTTATCAATTTTCAACTGATTTTAATTAAAAGAATAAGATGGATTGAGAAAAGAAAAACAAAAGAGAGAAAAAAGAAATCAAGCACTAAACTAGAATAGAGAAAAAAATAACAAGAAATAAATGAGAAGAGAAAACTAAGAAAATAAATTAGAAAAGAGTAAAAATAATTATATTATATCAGGTGAGACTATTTTTTATTATTAAATTTGTGTATAAAAGTAAATCGATTTAGTTAAATAAATAAACTTACATTTTATTTATTTAAATAATTTTTATTTTTAAATATATTATTTATGAGATTGAATAAAAAGACTTTTAACAAATAAAAAATAGAAAAGTATATGAATTTTTTATTTTGATTCAAATTTAAACTGTTATAAAAAATTATTTATAAAAAAGTATATAATTTTTTTATAGAATAAATATATAAAAATATTTGAAGTTAAACAGTAATATTTTCTTCTTACAATTTCTAGATATATCTCTATTTTTTTTAATAAAATTTTGTTTATTGTTTCTGATGGTTCATCTTTCGTATGGTTTAACAAAGAGATTTTTTTTTTGAGATTAAAAAAATCTCTCTTAATATAAATTGAGTTTTCATTTAATGAGCACACATCTTTTTGAATTAGTTTCAAATTAATTAAAATTTACATAAATATTTTGGTTTATTATTTTTTTTTATATGTTATCTAGACTATGGTTTAGTTTATACATGTGGGTAAAATTTTTAATACAATAAAAATATTTAATAAAATATTTATAAAAAAGTTATACGAGATTCATTATAAGAAAATTATTAATTACCGATGGATACGTAGTTATCGAAAAATAATTGATTACTGACAGAAATTACCGACGGATTAAAAGTAATTATGCAATTTGATCTTATCGATGGATATCAGTAAATAAATAATTAATTACCAACAAATATATCAATCGGTAAATCTGTCGATAAATAAATAATTATTTACCGATAGATATATATATATATCAATAGATATATCGATCAATAAATTAACAATTTTGGTAAATAAACAATTAGTTATCAATGGATATATCGATCAATAAATTAACAATTAATTACCTGACAAATTTAAATTATATTTTTAAAAATCAATATTAAATTAAAAAAATTAAATATTTAAAATTATATAATAATTACTTAATTTTAAATATATTCTAATATATTAATTATTCACCTAATTAAAAAATTAAATACTTTATTCATTTAATAATTTAATTTAATCATAATTAGATTAATTTATAATAATTTGTTAAATTAAATCATTTTAAAAATAAATATTTAAGTATTTTTAATATTGAAAAAATGATTTTAATGTAAGAATTTTAATTAAATAATTTTAAAAATAAATATTTAAGTATTTTTAATATTGAAAAAATGATTTTAATATAAGAATTTTAATTAAATAATAGAAGAAAAAAAGATAAAAAGAATAAATAAAATCAAATAAAAATAAAAAAAGAAAAAAATATTTTATATCAGTATGTAAATAAATTATAAAGATTATATTCTATCATTAAATTACAAAACCCATATAAAGATACTCGCTCACAAATTTGACATCAAAATTTTAAAAATTCACTTGATACACACTTTCACCTACGAGTGCACTCATCACATCCAATATATAAATATATATATATATATATATATATATATATTTGTATTTATATATTTTATATTTATATATTTACACGGATATACATTTATTTGTATATAAATATAATTTATTTATAAATTATTATTAGAAAATCTTAATAACTTAGTGGTTAAAGTATCGACTTTCAATTTTAAGGTATTGGGTTCAAATTTTATCAATCCGAGTTTTTTTAATTGAACAATAATTCAATAATAAGGAGAGACGAAACTCTAGATAAATAGATGTTTATTAATAAATAAATAATAGAACAATAATTCAATAATAAGGAGAGACAAACTCTAGCTAAATAGATGTTTATTAATAAATAAATAAATTTTTTTAATTAAATAATGATTGGAATTTCTTCTTGATTAGCGCCTGATTAAAAGTAACAAACTTTTTACATTATAACTGACCGAAAAAAAAACGTTATAAAAAAAGTATTTTCTAAATTATAAATGTGAGTATCATATATATATATATATATACAGAGAGAATATGTAAACATGAAGTACAACATCTTGTAATCACTCTCGTACAGACTCAAATAGAATCAATTCCTCATTGATTTCTTTCATTTTTTTTTTGGCTTTTAGTTTCAATCATTTAATATCCGTCTCCGTTAAAACACTGTTCTTGCCTTTATGTTTTTAACTTGTTGTGCATGTTACTTAATTATTGGGTACATTTCATGGTTGGATTGTGATGTCCCAGTACTGTTGCAACTTGCAACCATTAAAATTTGTGGGTGCATTCTAGCTAGCCAAATACCATATATTGCTCACCTGGAATCCCTTGATTTGTTGCTGGACAAGTAGACACAAATGGGTCAAAGCATTAATTTTTTCCCTCAATATTATATCTTACCACAATTGTACAAATCCAACCTTATCTTTCACTGCATAATCATTATTCATTTGGCCTACACATGCAGCATCGACAAGCAAAAGCTACCCCACCTTGCATTAATCAGTGTACCATGCATTTGCTTATAAAAAGGTTCCTTCTTCACCTTTCAAACCCATCCTGCATTCTTTCTACTTCTCTCATTCAAGCATATCCATAAACCAAAGAACAAAGGCTTTCTCACTCTTTTTCTCTTTTTCTCTTTCCATACCATGTCTTTTGAGTTGGGAATGGAGTTCTCAGAAGCCAGCAATGTTCTTCTCATGTCACTGATGGAAGAAACGCAGGAAGAAGAGTACTATGGCGATGACAGACTTGTGAGCATGATTCAGTCACTGGAGGCAGAGATCAGTGACACTGAAATGGGGCACGTGGACGACCAAGATTGCTCCACGTCAGACAGTGACCCTGATCATTGGGTTGACATGGAATTGATCTCTTCCTTGCCCTTCGATGAGATTAATGCATGGATGGGTGGTGGAGATGAGATGGTGGAGCATGCAGCAATGGAAGATGAAGCTGCAAATGACATCAATGATTTTGAATTGTATTATGGAGTGTTCTTGGAGCAGCAACATGCAGAGAGACTTTCTTTGTCACAAGGGCAAACTGCAGTATTCTGAAATTAATTTAGTATTCCAAAAATTAATTTGTGAAGGTGTTCAGAACTACATGTACATGTTAGTCCCAAAATTAATTGATATTCCAAAACTTCATTTTACATCCGATCCGTACAGAGCATTTGAATAAAATAATTAAATGATTTGACTTTTACATTTCATACTTCTTTATTTTACAGTTTCTTTTTCTTACTCGATTTCATTATTACAATTAAAATAATATATATATATATAAAATTTATTATTATAAAACTATTATCTCTATTTATCAGAATAAATATCATAAAAAAATTTAAAAATATTCAAAACACATCAAAAAAATTTATATATGCTCCAATATCTACTAGTATTCATAAGATTGTCCTTTATGAAATAATATTTGTTTATAATATTCGTTTATGTATCGATTACCAAAATTTCAAAAATATCATGTAATTTAATTTTTAAATATTTTCCAAACTTATAAGAGCAATCTCATGTACATAAATATTTACATGAATTTTTATTCTATAATTTTTAAAATTAAAAATAAACTTAAGCGACTTTAAGAATATTCAATCATCCACTACAAGAAATATTAAAATTACCGACGATCAAAATCAGTCGGTAATAACAAAAATCTGTCGGTAAATGAATATTACCGACTGAATGGAATCCGTCGATAATAATTTTATTATGTATTAAAAATTTTACTTATTTATATAGCATATTCCCATTTATATTCTTATTATTTCTTCATATTAAATTTTTATAGCTTTGAATTGTTATTAGATTTAGAGAAATGTCATTGACAGGATTGAACCCTACCTTAGTGTTGAAGGTCGATACTCCAACCACTAAGCTACTAGAATTTTTTGATAACAATTTACAAATAAATTATATTTATATACAAATATGTTTTTATATTTTTATATATTTATGTATTTTTATATATTTTTATATTTTTATATATTTTTATATATTTATGTATTTTTATATATTTATATATTTTTATATATTTATATATTTTTATATATTTTTATATTTTTATATATTTTTATATTTTTATATATTTATATATTTATATATTTATATATTTATATATATTTATATATTTTTATATATTTATATATTTTTATATATTTTTATATATTTATATATATTTTTATATTTTTATATATTTATATATTTATATTTTTTTATATTTTTATATATTTATATATAATTAAATATTTATTTTTTAAAATGATTTAATTTAATAAATTATTATAAATTAATCTAATTATGATTAAATTAAATTATTAAATAAAAAATATTTTATTTTTTAATTAGGTGAATAATTAAATTATATTATATAATTTTACCGACGGATATATCCGGTCGGTAAATAATTGTTAATTTACTGAGATGAATTTACCGAACGGATATATCCGTCTGTAATTAATTGTTAATTTATCGACGGATTTACCGACGGATATTTCCGATCGGTAAATTCATTTATAAATTACCGACGGATATATCCGTCTGTAACATCAAATTCCTCAAATATTTTATATCCATCGTTAATTTCAGTCAGTAATGATTATTTTTCAATCAGCTATAAATTCGATCAGTAAATATCCGATTCGGTAATACGTGATTTTTTTATAGTGATCTGAATTTAAAAGTTTAAGGTTAATATTTATCAGTACTTTGGTTAAATAGTTGAATCTACTTATGGAAGATTATATAAATCATGAAATTGAGTTTTATACGAATTAATTTACATATTTCAAATTAGTTTATCTTTTCTTTATTTTATAGAATTGCACCATGAATATGATTTGTTTTACTATGTTTTAGAATTTAAATTAGATTTCGATTAAAATTTAATTTAGTGTCAGCAAAACTCAATTTCACAGTTAATATGATCTTCAATGTTATTATTAACTAAAACCACATCTTCATATTCAAATACACTTTTTCATCACATATACCTTCGTCTCTATGATTTGGACGATTAATAAAAGTCTAAATATCTCATTCATATATTATCCAATTCAACACTCATAGACTTCAATTACCTCATCATTATTTAAAGTCACCACAAAATAATGGTACCTCTTAGTAATTAATATTCTAGCAACATTAATTTGTAAAACATTTCATACTAAATTCATCATTTTATTCAATACATAGTCTCATATTATTTTACATTTTTAATCACATATATCAATATGATTCAACCACATCATTCAACCATTCACATAAAATTAAAAAAAAATAGTAATTATGATATTCCAATATTTATTTATCAACCTTCTTCAAAGTTATATTAACAATTATCATCATATGTTTTTTAAGACTAAGATCTATATTTGAATTTGATAATTATCATCATATATTAATATTAATGTAACAATAACTTGTAATTACTGTCACTCACTCAATAGACAAACTAAAATCAATAAAAGAAATGGGATGAGCATATTAGGATTAATTTTTTCTAAAAAACTTATAAATATAAAAAGTAAAATATTTCTTTTATGAGTTAATTAAACTTAAGTTATGAATGGATTAAAATATAATTTATAGAAGATAATATAAGAAAAAAAAGTTAATGTGCAAGGCATTGATCCTATTGCTAGAAAATCCATGACCATGTTTGTAGGTACAATGACTTTTGACTAATATGGCACATAGACTCACCTTTTTTGCAATGGAGCTTTTGGCTTGATGGTTCAAAGACTAGCATTAATTGGTTGTCAACATTCAATTCATATACATAAAAATATAATATATGCTTAATTCCCCAATGATGTAGTCTTCCCAATAAGGTCACTCACAAATGATACACATAACATGGGAGTGGGTTCATTCATCCATTATTCAAAAGTGATATATTCTAGGCATCTAATCTATATCTTAATTAAACCCCACAAAAAATGAAGTTTAGTGGCAACATGTGCATCAAAATATGTGACTTGGGTGGTCACAAACAATGGTTTATCATCAAGCTCTTGTGTTGTTTATTTGGGTCCACTTGCTTTCATGCCTTAACTATTCATTGGAGGCATATCTTTTCAAAATTCTAAATGCACAAATGTAAAAGTTAGCAAAAATCTTAGAGAACCCCACAATGCAGATTTTCAGTACCTTCAATTTTAATATGATAATAGCAAGATTTTTTCCCCCCACCCTTTTCTAGAGATTTGACACTATCAATGTAAGTGGAACCTATTTTTTCAGCATCGGAACCGTATCTAAAATTAAAGAAATTAAAGTGGGGAAAAGATATAATCTCCATATACAATAGTTTTTTTTTTTTATACCAAAGAAACTATACGTGTTAAAGTGTATAGAATGTCTTTATAAATAAAAATACGTATTTTTTTAGAAACTTTAAATTGATGAAGGTACATTAAAACCTAGTTTGAAGCATCTACAATTTTTTTTTTCATCATATCACGGTTCAACTCACTAAGTTTTTTCTAGTTCATTGGATCATATATTAATATCTCCCCTCTCTTAATATTATATTTTTATTAGGTCCCCCATCTCTTTATATTATATTTTTTAGAAGTTTATTAATTTTTAAGAGAATTTTTATTGGCAGAGATTCAAACCCAAGTACCTTAGAGTTGGAAGTTGATACTTCAACCACTAAACTACTAGAATTTTCCGATAATAACTTACAAATAAATTATATTTATATACAAATAAATATATATCCGTGTAAATATATAAATACAAATATATTTATATATTTTGATATATTTATATAGTTATATATTTATATGTGAGGGCACATTCGAAAGTGAAAGTGTGTGTCGAGTGGGTTTTCAAAATTTGATGTTAAATTTGTGAGCAAATATCTTTATATGAGTTTGTAATTTAATGACAAAATATAATCTTTATAATTTTATTTATATAATGATATAAAATAAATTTGGGAAACGCGTTATTCGCTCTCAAGCGAAAAATACCAATTTTCGCTCAAGCGAGGCTTGAGTGAGTGAATTTTCGTGAGTTTTAACATATTTTCACTCAAGCGAGAGTCAATCTCACTTTCACCCTTAATCGAAAAATACCAATATAATTTATTTGTAAGTTATTATAAAAAAATTATAGTAGTTTAGTGGTTGAGATATTAACTTTCAACTCTAAAATACTCGAGTTCAAATGCTCGTCGATGACAATTCATTAACTTAAGTGAATTTTTGGTCGAAAAAAAATAAAAATACTTTCCAGAAAATATATACAAATAAATATATATTTACATGGATATATATTTATTTGTATATAAATATAATTTATTTGTAAGTTATTATCAGAAAATTATAATAGTTTAGTGGTTAGAGTATTAGTTTTCAATTTTAAAATCTTGAGTTCGGATCCTGCCAGTGACAATTTTCAAATTTAAGTGAATTTTTAGGTGGAAAAAAAAAACTTTCAACGCTCGGTTCATATGAGAATCGATGTAGAATGTGTTTAATATTCAACTTTCAACGTCAGTTCATTTGAGAACCGACGTGGAAAGTACTTTCTACGTCGTCTCAGCTTATAACCGACGTTAAATGACGACGTAGAAAGTATATTTTGTAGTAGTATTATATTTAATTTTTATTGTGTTTATCAACAAATAATTAATGTAGACTTTTATGATTTCATAAAACAAGAATTTTTTTAGAATATTTTTTTGTTTTTCGAAGATTAATGAAGCAAAATAAAAATTATACATTATTATAATAAAAATAAAACTATTAGCATGATAAAAAATAAAATATTGGAAATACAATGAATTTAAATAATCTATTTAATAAGAAAACAGAAAAAGGAATACAAAGTGTTTAAGATAAAAGAATAACAAAAAAATAAAATTTTAAAACTAAAAAGTGTGAAGAGAATAAAAATCTGATTGGAGCACAGAAAAAATCGAAATAAAGACAAAAGCAGAAAAACAATATATGAAACTAAAAATACGATAAATTTTCATCCATAAAAAAAACAAAAAAATAATAGAAATTGGAGAAAAATGTTTAATTTCTCAAATATATTTCACCTATAGTTTTAAATATTAAATCAACATAAATAAATTTATAAATTATTTGATTCCAATTATAGCTTTCAAAAAAAAAAAAAAAAGTTCACCATAATTTCATAAATATAATCATAGCATACCTCTCCTCCACCTTCGAGTAAAAATGAAACTGTTTACCTTTTCTCCTTATCTTTTCGTGATTCTTGTTATCATTTTGGAACCTTGGCACACACTATCACTAGTGCAAGCTTCCTATTTGTATTCAACTATCACAATATTCTTATCTAACACTACCTCTCATAACTTTTTTTTTTTATATAATTAATTTTGTAGCCTTTCACAAGTCTTTTTCTCAACTATATCAATAAACTTACTTTGTTCAAATATATAACGAGACACTTGAATATTCTGAGTTAAGACTGACGTAAAAAAGAGAAATTATAGACCGAATCATATTCTTTTTTATTTTATTTTTTTCTGTGAAGTGAAAAACATTTTTCTTCATCAATTTCTTTAATAAGAAAGATGTGGGGAGAAGGAATTATTAAAAACATAGCATTATTCTATCTATTTTGAAGTGGTTCTTTATGATCTAACACGTAGAAAGCCAACGAGTCATTCTATAAACTATTCCCCCACAAAACTATTCCCTACTTTATTGCAACTTGACGTTTCATCCACTGAAAGCTTTGTCTTTTCATGTTTCCTTGTCCCACTCAAAAAGTTGAGGTTTTTGGGTCAGATTCTATGATTTCCACAAGATCTTGCTTACTTCAAGCCATCCCTATGGCCAGAAAGCACGAGCAATATCGACATAGACACATTTTCTTTAATTGTTGCCACAACTTTTTTTAATTCCTCTATGCTATGTGGATATGCAACATGCATGATCAATCAATGGAACATAGTTCTTGGGTGCACATGTGCACATGAGTGTCTGGTCATGGTGGGTGTACTGTCTCCTTCTTGAGTGCCTATATAAAGCCCTGTTTAGCTTATACATCTCATTCATCTCAAGCTTGTTAGCTCTTATCACATATTCTATATTCTCTCTTTTATTATTGTTCAACTTCTTCTGCTAAGACAACAAACCAAAAACATGGCATCTCAAACTGGTGACGGTTTGGCTTTCATCAATGGTGATGATGGGTTGCAAATCAATGGAGCTCTTTTAATGTCATTGATGGAAGAGCCAGCAGCAAGTTGTGAGGGTGATGATGACCGATTGGATAGCTTGATCAGGTCTTTTGAGGCTGAAATAAGCGGAAGCAAGATGGAGGATCATGATGATTCAGCATCCTCCACAGGTTCAGAAATGTTTATGAGCAATGATATGGAAGAGTGTGGCACTCAATCATGGAACATGGGAGAGATTGAATGGGGTAATTCATCAAGTGAATTTGGAGTGGGATGGGTGGACATGGATTTGGTGCCATCATCCCCATTTGAAGATAAAAGTTGGTGTGTTGACCCTTGTGGAGAGGAGTACTATGCCATGGCAAACAACTACTTGGGAGATCATGGATACAATTCCTTGTGGCAAGACATGGCTTGCAATTAATGCCTTTTAACTACTTTCTCATGTTGTTCATGTAAATCCTTGCTGTAGTCCTCCAACTGTTCTTATAAGAACATAAAAAGAAGATGAGATTTTCATTATGATCAAATGAAAGTTCTTTGACTTGTCAAATCTTCACTAGGCAGTGATGACACTTTTATCATGTTTGTCTAAATCCATTGAAAGTATTATCCTGTGTTCAAACCAAGATTGACAATACAAAAGGGAGGATCATGACAAAATAGGAGATTGTCAAGTCAAAAGTGTCATGAAGAAACAATAACTAAGATTTTTAGGATATATACATAACAGAAGTATTTCTAGAAAAGAAAGTTTTTTTTTTAAAATCATGAAAACTAATCTCTCAAATGTCAAAAAAATGTATTATTTTTTTTTATTCTTAACTCTTAATTTTATTAAAATTTAATAATTTAAAAACTGAAGTTATAAATATTCAATCTTTTAAAAACTACTTAAATTATAATACCATTTTATGAATAATTTTAAGAGGAAACAATAGCTCAACACTAAATTTGATTATTGAATTTGTAAAACTGTTAATTTAGTCTTTATAAAATGAAATTTTTATTTAGTTCCTAAATATATATATATATATATAATACAAATTAGTCTCTAAAATCAATCTTTCAAATTATTACATCTTAATGACAAAATAATTAAAAAACTTAATAAAAAAAATGTAATTGTGGAACGTTTTAAATATTCTGTAATTAAAATACTATTTTAAAAATAATTAAAATAATCCCTCCCTGAGAAATCAAAGCAATTTTTTATAGATTAACCAATAATTTGATTTTTTTTCAAAATAAAGTAAAACGGGGTCGTTTCACTTGTGGAAGAATCGAAAAGAAGCATGAAGTTGGAAATGCAGGCGACGTTTGATATTGGAATCGGTTCAAACGCAAACCAAAAGGAAACGCCGCAATCATAGCAACCTGCGAAGCCCATCGTCATCATCGCGGGTGTACCAGAGTTCTTTTCATCACTTTTCACGCTGCAATGTTCTGAATCTGGACAACCCTCTATTCCTCTTTCGAAGCTCGCATTTTACACGAGTTTGAGCGAGTTTGCTCGAGCCTACTCAAAAAACGATTCCGTGCGAGTTAACTAGGTTCGAGGACGTAGGAACGTAAACTCTGACAACCACGATTGTATGTATTGCAGGTATTGAATATTGATCGATCATTGTCATTCAATTCATTGTTTAAAGTTATTTTGGCATTCGAACGTTAGTTCTGTATTTTGTCTTTTTATGATTATCATTCAACCCACTGTTTTTGCTGACCTTCTTTTGAATTATTTTAATTTCGTGAAGGGATAGTGAATAATGTTTTAGCTTAGCATTGTTTAATTGAGAAATGATACTAAAATAATCGTTGGTTTGTAGGTTTGAGTGATTAGTTCGTAAGTTCTTCCGAGATCAATCCAATTTAGCCATAAATTTATATAAATCAACTTAAGAGCAGGTTAAATCTAACAAGAACAGATATGATTTCACGAACCCTTGGTCGTGTTGTCCCTCTGAAATTCACCCTGTTGAGGTTGTTGTCCCCATTTTCCACAATCCCCAACAGTGACACCGCCATTCTGGCGCGTCTGAAGCACAAAGACTGGCTCACTCCGAAAGAAGCCACCAACCTCTTAACCTCCCTCACACACCCTTCCTCCACCCTCTCCTTCTTCAACCTCTACACCTCCCGCAAGGACTTTGACCCCACTGAACCCGTTTGCACCACCCTCGTTGCCAAACTTGCGCAGGCCCAACACCTCAACCCACTCATCATCCTCCACCACAGCCTCACCCTCCCCCGCCCCCAACGACGCCGTTTATCTGATAACTTCTTTTTCACCCTAATCAAAGCCTATGCGCATTCCTTCCAGCGCGTGGACCACGCCCTCCGCACCCTCCACGAAATGCCCTGTGCCCCCTCCACGCGCACATTCAACTTTGTCCTCAACCTCCTTGTTAATACTCGCCTCTACTATGCTGCACGCGACCTATTCCTCCAAGCACCACAGCTCGGCGTGGCACTTGATACGTGCTCGCTGAACATCCTTATCAAGGGGCTCTGTGCCCAGGGCGAGTTAAATGCCGCGTTTGAGTTGCTGGAGGAGTTTCCTAAGCTGGGGTGTGAGGCGAACGCGTGGACCTACGCGACGCTGATGAAGGGGTTGTGTGAGAGAGGGAAGATGGAGGAGGCTTTTGGGTTGTTGGGGAGAATGGAGGGGGGAGGTGTGGATGCTGATGTGGCGGTTTTCAATGTTTTGATTGGGGGGTTGAGGAAGTGGGGGAGGGTGGATGATGGGTGGAAGGTGTTGGAGGGGATGATGGGGAAGGGGGTGTGTCCTAATGGGGGGTCTTATAATGAGGTTTTGTGTGGGTTGCTTGAGGGTGGGAGGTTTGAGGAAGCTAAGGAGGTTGTGGAGAGGATGGGAGTGGAAGGTTTTGCGCCTAGTTTTGAAGCTTATAAGGGTTTGGTTAAGGGGTTTTGTGAGAGGGGGGTGGTTGACGAGGTTGAGTGGGTTATTAGGGATATGGTGAGGAAGGGTTTTGTGCCCAAGATGGGGATGTGGAGGAAGATTGTGCAATGTGTTGTTGAAAGGGAAGGGAGTTCTGGGTGCGTGGCTGTTGCTATTGATGGTATTTTGGAGGTTGGCAAATTGCAACCACCCCATGAGGCCATGGTATGAAACAATTGGTTCTAGGGTGTGTTATGGTTGGTTGTGAATTTAGTCGTGATAACTATGCTTACCCTTGTGTTTTGAACGCTTGCTCTTACTCTGACAATGCAAGGATTGGGTTTCAGCTTCATGTAGTTGTTTTTAAGGTTGGCTTTGACATGAATTTAATTGTTGGGAATGGTCTCATTGCATTGTACGGGAAGTGTGGTTGCTTGCTGGAGGCAGACGTGTTCTTGCTGAAATGCGAGGCAGGGATGTTGTTTCATGAAACTCGATGGTAGTGGGGTATGTGCAGAATATGCGGTTTGGTGATGCATTGAGGAATGGAGGGTGAGGCAAAAACCGAACGAAGGTACAATAGCTAGTCTCAAGCCAGCAGTAACTGATGTTTCATCAGAAAATGTTTGGAATGTTAAAGGAGATGTTCAAGAATTTGGAGAAGAAAAGTTTGTTCTCATGGAATGTGATGATAACTGTGTATATGAAAAACTCAATACCTCGAAAAGCTGTTGATCTATATTTACTAATGGAGAAATGTGAAATGGAACCAGATGCAATTCCTTATTGTTAGGAAGGAGGGTTGATGAATATGTTGAGAGGAAGAAGCTATGTCCAAGGCTACAATGTTGTGGCACTCTTCACTGAAATGCTAAATATAGGTCAAAGTCCAGATTCCATTTTCTGTGTCGCAACTATATCGGCTTGTAGCTATTCAAGTTTACACAATGGAGGGAAGTTTTACTTTAAGCAGATGACAGACCATTACACATTAGCACCAAGAGTTTAACACTTTCTTTCTTTGGTGGATCTTTTAGAAAACTGCAGTTTTGACAACCTCAAAGGGTCTATATATATGATGGTGGATAATTATTTTATTTCAGGATTATTTTGGTACATTGGAGGAACAAGAACTTGAGTAGGAGGAATAAATGTTCTAGAATTAATGTTCTGCAGGAAGATGGATTCTCCAACATCATCACACTCCAATTTTACAGATTGGAAATGGTATTAGTTGAGCTTTCTCTATGTTTATGACGACAAAAAAAAATGACATTTTGGATGCAGGACATGTATTTTAGTAGTGATTTATTCTTCTTGCAGGATAGGCAAGAACCATTACTGTTATTATACATTGTACTGTCACCAGTTTTTTTGAAGGCTGCAATATTTGCAGACTAGGGACAATGCTGTTCTAAAATTAGATGATAAAGGTATATAGTCCTTGATTCAATTGGATTTCACTTTCTTAAAGCCTTTACTTGCTTTCAAAATAATGATCAATTTGGATAATCTTCTCCACAAAGAAAATATAGAGTTAAAATGACTTTTGTTCCCTAATTAATCTGGATGACTAAATTTATTGTTTGTGGTTGGTATACATGAATTCTTGATAAATTTGTAATTCCTTAGCCGGAGAGTATACCTGTTCGTGGGTTGCCTTTGTTGTTATAAAATGTGGTTCTTGTTTTTCCCCTTGTGCAGAGGCAATCTAGGTGCAAATTATTCTGTCTTGACTAGAATGCCAGGTACAAAGCCCTAGGCTGGTTTGTCCCCGAGATGTTGCTTTTGTGAACATATCTTTGTTATTCTGGTTTTGTTTTGGGATTCACTCTCTGGTGTTAGGTCACATAGCTACCAAAATGCTGGAAGAGGGAGGGACAATTCCCCCCCCCCATGATATCTGCCACTACAATGATTCAACTGTCTGGATGTCAACTTCTCCCTTTCAAGACATTTCTCTTATTTAAGCTTAAGGAGTTAACAAGTTTCTTTCCTTTTACATGAATTTCTGAATGTCTTCTTGTCGTATTTAGTGATAGTTGAGTTGGGATTGTTGAGTTGAATTGATTAGAAAATAATATCAAAAGTGTTTAAAGATTATGTCTACAAGTTTTGTTCTTATAAAACCTCCTCTCTTTTGGATGTTATTTGCTAAAATAAATTAATAAAGGCATTTTGAATTGATATAAGTATGAAGAGTTTCGCATTAGGCATAATCATTTTCAGAAACTTGTCAACTAAATTCTTAAGTTGATCTACATTACAAAGAGTTTTCAACAAGTGCTTATGGTGTTGTTGATTCAACTCATCATAAGATTTAATTGAGCTTGAGTACCTTTTGTCTTTTGCTCATGCAATCTATTTGATTATATTTAAGGCAAGAACAACTGCAAGGAAAAAATTGAGATGGCGGCACCTGAGGTCACAGAAGTTTCACCAAGGGATGAACCCTCTTCTAATTCCTCATTTGTTGTGATTTATTTGTGCCAAAACAAAGCAATTCCTCTCCCTACTAAGTTTCACCAGATGGAACAATGTGTATGTAGGAACAAGACAATTTGGTGGATATGTAAACTGCTGAAATGTTGGGTGGAAGCCGCTGCCTTGCGAGCTAGTATTACTGGCGCTAGTATTGCAGGCATTGATCGGTCTGGTGCCATTGACAAAAACCATAGAGCTGGTCAAGCTTTTGTTTACATTGTGGCACACTGTACAATGGCCCTTTTGAACATGATGACAGGATGAATGATGTTAGAATGTGATTCAAATAGCTTAAGGACATTATTTCTGTCTGTTTAGAGGTAGTTATTTCTGTTTGTTTAGAGGGTCTTCTATAAAAGAACCTTGACTCTTTCATTTTTCATATACAAGTTTTCAGATGTTTTTCTCTCATTTTTGTGTATTTGTTCTGTCTAAATTCTAATAAATTGGTATTAGAGCAAGGTTTTTATGGGGTTAACTCATGCAAAATTTTCAACAAATCTTTTTATTCTCAATGGATAGAACTGGGATTAATAGTGTGTATAGATAAATGCAATTTTTTACTATTAAGATGTCGTAGAGATTGTCAAAGAAGGGTACCCAAAGCTCAATGAAGATTTTATAGATGCACAAAAGGCACTTTATAATAAAAATAAGAAGAAAGATTGCAAAGCAATCTTTATGATTCATCAATGTGTTGATGAGACGCATTTTGAGAAGATTGCAAGGGTTGCAATTTCGCAAGAAACATGAAAGATCCTAGAGAAATGTAGTGAGGGTGTTGAGCAATTGAAGAAAGTGAGATTATAGACGAGACATCAATATGAATTGATGCAAATGAAAAATATTGAGAAGATAGTCGAATTTTTCAAGAGAATCATTACTCACACGAATGCTATGCAAAATTGTACTCTCAACCTCAATTTTGATCACATAGTTGTCACCAATGAAGAATCCAATAAGCTTGAAGATTTGAAGGTAGAAGAAGTTCAAGGTTCTCTCGAATCACATGAGTAGTTACTAATTAAAAGAGGGTAAAAAAAGTCTAGTGATTATCAAGCATTGTAGGCTCAGACTTCTAGGAAAAGAAGCTAAAAAGGGAAATTCAAAGGTTGAGACTGTGGGAGAAATTCTAGAGGTGGCTATGGAAAAAAATAGTCAAAACCAAGATCAAGAAATGATTGATCAAGATCAATCATAATGTTCAAATAAAAAAGGGAGTTTTAGTAATTAGTGAGGAGGAAAGTAAAAGGTAGTTTACAGAAAGAGAACTAAATGTTTTAGTTGTAATCACATTGGCATTTTTTCCACAATATATGTAGCTGCACTGAGTAATACATATTATTAGGAAAGTCAATCACACGCTAATTATCAAGCACACATGGTCAAAGAAAAGAATGAAGAAAATCCTAAAGAACAATCTCTAATGCTGATGATCACCAACCCAGAATCACACAATAATGAAATTTGGTATATAGATTCTGGATGTTCAAATCATACGACAAGTCATTGTGATTGACTTGTTAATTTTGATGCAAAAAGAAAGCACAATAAGGTTTGTAAATAATAGAGTTCTTAAAGCTAAGGAAACAATGTGTTAGTTACAAGACAAGATGGAAGGCAAGCAGTGATCTTGGATGTGATTTATGTCCCTAAAATGAAGAGTAATTTGATCAATATATGTCAACTTTTAGAGAAATGGTTCTCAAAATATGATTAATGATTTTTTGGAGATTTATGATGCAACGAAGAGAATGATTATCAAAGCTCCTTTGGCTAGAAACAAGACCTTTAAGGTAAATCAAAACACCATTGAATATGAATGTTTCTCTGATGTTTTATCAGATGATACATGGTTGTGATATCTTAGGTTAGGTCACTTAAATTTCAAAGATTTAAGTTTGTTGTGGTCGAAAAATATGGTGTTTGGTCTTCCTTCAATTATGATTCCAAAGAAAATCTATAACAATTTTTGGATCAACAAGCAATCAAGAACTTTTTTCGAGGCCTTACACTCTATCCAAAGCCAATGATATTCTACATGTTGTCTACTCTTATGTTTGTGAGCCATTTGAAAATCCTTCATTAGGAGGAAATAAATATTTTGTATTATTTGTTGATGATTTATTATAAATTTGTGGCTATATTTGATTAAATCAAAGAATGAAATTTTCAATATCTTTAAAAGGTTCAAGGCTTTAGTGGAAAAGCAGTTTGAAAAGTTTATCAAGATTTTGAGGACAAACGGTGGAGGTTAATTTATTTCTGGTGAGCTGGAAAGTTTCTGCAAGGAGCATGGAATAATACATGAGGTAATTGCTCCCTACAGTCCCCAACATAATGGAATAGCATAAAGAAGATACAAAATCATATTAAATATGGTAAGAAACATGCTCAAGCAAAAAAACATCCCTCATAGTTTTTGGGGTGAACCAGCCATGACTGTTACTCATGTATTGAATAGATGTCTCACCAAAAGGCTTGAACTCAATGGTTTCTAGAAGAAGCATGGTCTGGTACCAACCCTTCGATCAAGCATTTTAAAATCTTTGGTTCATTATGCTACAAACGCATTCCAAATCAAAGGAAAAAAAATTTGGATGATAAAAGTGAATCAATGATTTTTGTAGGCTACAACTCCACAAGTTCCTACAAGTTGTACAATCCCATGACAAAGCAAGTTTCTTTCAGTAGAGATGTTCATTTTGATGAATCTAGTTCATGGAGTGAGTTTACATCTGAAATAGTTCCAAGGTTAGAGTTTGAATTGGAAGAAAGCAACCTTGTTGAGGATGCTACTCAACATACATTGAATGTTGAGTCTCGCATAGTGAATAACATATTTACAAGGAATAAAAGGTTTTCTTCAAAACTCTCAAATTATCAAGTTTATCTTGATAATGCTATCTCCGATGATTGTGAAATGGTAGAATTACCTTATAATAAGGTTCCTATTAATGTCAAATGGGTTTTTAAAGTTAAACTCAAACTAGATGGATCAATTGTTAAGCATAAAGTCTTACCGGTAGAGAAGGGGTTCATGCAAAACAATGGGATAAATTACATAAAGGTATTTACTCTTGTGGCTAGATTGAAAACTATAAGATTGATTATTTCTTTGCCTAGTTGGAAGAAATAGAAGTTATGTCAGCTGGATGTTAAATCAGTCTTTCTTAATGAAGCACTTGATGAATAAGTTTTCATTACTCAACCCCTTGGTTTCATAAATAAGGGGAACGAACAAAAGACTTTGAAATTAAAAAAAGGCTTTGTATGACATCAAATAGGCATCGAGGGCTAGAATAAAAGAATTGACACCTTCCTTCATAATGTTAATTTTCATAATTGTTTAATTGAACATGAAGTATATTTTAAAATTGTGAGTATCACTGAAGTTCTTATTTTCTTATATGTGGATGGCCTTCTCATTACTAGTAGTAGTTCAACCATTATTGATTAACTCAAGCATAGTTTAAAGAAGGAATTTGAAATGATAGATTTAGGAATCTTGTCATATTTTTTAGGATTGGTGTTTGCCTATACTAAAAAGGGTATTGTTATGCACCATACGAAGTATATTTTAGAGGTACTAAGAAGTTTCATATGATGAAGTTGAATTAAACTTAAAACCGATAAGGAGTAAGAATGAGGTTTTTGTTGATGGAACTTTGTTCCGACAAATCGTTGGTAGCTTGAGTTTTTTTGTCACACCAGAATTTTCTTTTAGTGTTAGACTTGTGAGTAGATTCATGAGTGATCCTAAACAATCACATCTCTCACCTGTTAAGAGAATCATGAGATATCTAAAGGGAACTCTAGTATATGGAATTATTTTCCTTCATCAAACCAAAGAAGATGATCCATTACTTCTTGTAGCCATTTTGATTTTGATTTTGATTGGTGTGGTGACTTGATTGATAGGAGAATTACTATGGGACAAGTCTTTTTGTTGTCTGGATCTCCTATGTCTTGGGGCTCAAAGAAGCAAACAATGGGGCATTGTCAATCTGTGAAGCAAAATACATTGTAGCTTGTCAGACATTGTGGTTATCTTCATTAATGAATGAGTTGAAGGTGTATGTTGATAATGCTACTGAATTACTAGTGGACAGTAAATCAATCATAGATCTAGCCAAAAGCCCTATATCTCACGGTAGAAGTAAACATATACACAAAGTTTCATTTCCTCAAGGATAAAGTAAGCAAGGGCAAAATTAAATTGAGACATCACAGGACAAAAGTGCAATTGGTAGATGTAATGACTAAAGCTTTGAAGATTGAAAGATTTAAGAAGTTGAGAGAGTTGCTAAATATAATTGATTTCTGTTTATAAGCCTTTGAATCAAAGGAGGGTGATAGAATGTGATTCAAATAACATAAGAACATGTGCTAATTATTTCTTTTTGTTTAGAGGGTCTTTTATAAATGATCATTGACTTTCTCATTTTTCATATATAAGTTTTCAGTTATTTTTGTCTCACTTCGCTCTATCTAAGTTCTAATAAATAAGATATACTTATTTTAAATGAAAAGTGAATGACATACAATGTGAATTGTGAGAGAACTATTTTCACCACTTTTCATAACTTTAACACTTTCTAAAAGAAAACGAACTAAATTATACTATATTGTAAGAAATTGATAAAAATAAAGTTTTGAACATTTTTCTCAATGCTTTAAATTGAGAAGTATTTTGGATTGTCGAGCTTTATTGGGTCTTTAGATTTCAATTTAAAAACTAAAATTGTTGGTTTATGCAAAAAGTTGTAAGTTGTTTTCATTGACTAAAGAATGATTTTCAAATTTCAAATAACCATGCTCTACACTAATAAGGTTATGGTTAGTTTTTATATTTAAAAAATATATTATAAAAAATATTATGAAAGGTCTTTAATAATATTTAATTCATATACACTTAATATATAAATAAAATATTAAATAATAATCATAATAATATCTTAATTTTAATTTTAATTAAAACAACAATTTAATATTTTTTATTTAAATAATACTTTAAAAATTGATATATAATAATTTTTTTCCTAATAACTAATTTAAATATAATATAACTAGATATATATTTTCATCATTATTTTTTACTTATATATATATATATATATATATATATATATATATAAATATAAATATATATATATATATATATATATATATATATATTAGAATTTCAAATTTAATTTAACAATTTTTATGATGGTTTTTTTTTCTCTTTATAAATTTCATGAATGTTTTTTTAATGAAATCAT